TAGTCGACTAGTCGCTTACATCCCTGCTATAGATAGCTTGTCTCTGTGAGCATTGTAGAAAGTAGAAAGCCACTCACAGGTCTGAGCTCTAGATGTTTTTTACAGAGTCAATGTGGGATAATAATAATAATATAAGGACTGGTCTTATTTGGTTTCTACAGCTAGAACTTCTTAAAGGAAATGTAGCTTCACATATCTGCCCGGTGCTCATATGGCTGGTGAAAAATATAGACTTTCCAGGCTGCTCAGAAGAAGGCAGACAGAAAATACCCAGTGCCCTGAATCCCTCCTTATTGCTGTCTCGAGACCGATTTAATATGATGTAGATTGTAAACTCTTTGGGACAGGGATTGTGACTTTCTACGACTGGTGTGAACTGCCTAGCTCTTCTGAAGCACTCACCAGTAAAATAATAACGAGAGTTCTTCCTGCAGCGCCAAGTCTGTCACATTAAGAGTTCAGTTTTTCTGTCAACTTGCCTGTGGTGTTGCAGCATTTTTGACTAGGAGTTTATTTGTTGGCCATGTTGAATTGCTCCCGTTCTCAGCTACCAGACCTTTGTGGATATATGAGATTTCACCTGCCTTTGGCTCGTGACCTTTCACTAACAACTGAAGGAGGCAGAGGAGGAAGACCCCTGGAGATGCTCTCTCTTCACTTTTGAACTTGTCTATTGGGAGAGAACATTGGAATTTTTTAAATGTGTTCTTCTAGTGTAAGTCACAATGCTGATGTCCTCAGTGGAGTTGAGCTGCTCTAATACACTCAGGCCTTGAGAGCAATGCCTCCGACTGGGAGCTTGCCTGTCCAGAGCTCCCCAGCCCTTCTCTGTGTCAAGAAGCCTTCAGCTTCCATGATAGTCAGGTCCCTTCACAGCTGGAGCAAGAGGGAGAGAGTGTCTCCCCCTCCTCCAGGAGCCCTTATTTATACACCCCCTGCTGGGCCCTAATTGGCTATATCTGATTCAGCTGCAGCTCCATCATCTTAGCCGACTCCCAGGGCTGGATTTAACCCTTCTTAGGCCATTGCAGGTCAGATGCCCCGTCACAGGGGGAAAGGAGGTTGCTGTTGTTCTTATCTGCAGTAAAGTTTGCGTTTAAACGTGGATGTCTTTAGATGTATTTTAAAAAATACAAATCAAGAAATTGCAAAATGGTTTGTTCTTAATTGTGACTAGGGCCAGACAGAGGCATGGGTGAGCCGGGCAGCTGCCCAGGGCGCCAACCGATGAGGGGCGCCTCATGGCAGCTGTAAGGGGCGTGCGGCGTCCCTTACAGCTGCCGTCAGGTGGCACACGCCTGGCTCCCGCACGGCCGGCCCCCCCGCCACCTCGCCGCACCC